GTGTGAGATGAGGAGGGAGTAGAGGCCTTGGTTGGGCTTTTGCCCTTGAATACAGGCTGTAAAACATATACTATGTAGCATACATACAAAAAAGACCAAAGATAAAAATGACTCACTCCACTGGCAGCCTTCCAGATATCCCAGAAACAATCAACTTTATTCTGAAGATAATTTCCCACCAATAGATATGACATTGGAAAATTGTCTTCAAAGCAGATGTGTTGAGTGACCTTGCACACCTTGATGGAAGCTGCAACAAGATGCTATGCAGTACTGCAATTACCTACAGCCTCCCATAACTTGAGGACAGTGAGACACATCATAGAGTCAGATGTAAATTAAGAATGGCCCATGACATGCCATGGTTGTCTTCATCAAAATGGTGAGTTAGGGTTAGAGGACTCAGTGTGCTCTAAAAAATTGAGCCTTTTGGAAGTTGGCATGCTGGGCAAGAATTTGGGTTTGAGTTCCATGGAGTCAAGGAAGTTCAGCCCAACAGAGAACTGGGGATAATCCTGTATAAAATTATCTAAATTAATGTAAATAACAATAAAAAAAGAATGAATAAGGATATCTATACCTTTCAATGAGTTGATTGACTGATCAACCTCAATGAAGCTGATGCTGTATTTTTTCCCCCCAGTAGTTGAAATGGCAGCAAGAAAAGGATGGGGGAGGGAGTGATTTTCAAGCAGCTAAGTAAAAGTTAGTGGTAGAAACAAAATAAAAGTGTGGAGGAACTTACCATCATTAAACAACAGCATATTGTTGTCCACTGATGTAGAGGCAGTGATACTATGACATCCAACTTTGATTTTTTAGCACTTGGGGACTCTCCTGACTTTGTATGGTGTTATTTTATCATGTCAGACACAGACACATTGCTAGTTGTAGCATAGTCTCCAGATTCCTCTTCTTTGGCCTCAACTTCTTCACTTAATTTGCTTGTCCTTAATAACTGTGAAATAATGTGCTCTGCCTTCCAACGGTTAGAATAGAGAGCAAGCAATAGCTGCTGCTATTCCATATCAATCAAGGCCAACTCCCACTCCCTCAGATATGTTGACCATAAGTAGTTTATAGAAGGTTTGACTTTTTGACATCAGCAGCTTGACAAGGGGAGTTGGAACAGTGCGTGTTGAGCAACACAAGTGGCTGCTCAAATAGCAGTCTATTCTTGATGTGAAATTAGTATGCTGTTTAGGTGACAAATACACTGTTCTATTGCTAGCTGTGAAGGGTTTGCAGGGGTTATTCCTGATTTTTCATTAGCCTTGCAATCACCAAAGTTCAGTTAGTTTTTTTGGGGATATGTTTCTAGTTTTCTAGTTGAGGTATAGGCCATTGATTACAGTCTGCAACTCGGAGTTTTTTTTGAAAAAGGCAAAGATTTTCTTGCCTAAGAAATTCTATCTCCAGCAACATTCAGCATATTTGATCTTCAAATTTGGAGAGTTTTGCATTAAGTATTGTTTGCTGTTTGATGTATGAGCACTTAGTAGTGAAATGTTCTCAGATTTGTTTGAATAAGTCTTTTTGAGTGTCCTTGCTTTCAAGGATCTGATAAGCAGAAATTTATTATATATTTGTTGAAAATATCCCTAAATTGCTGATTTCTCAGCAAATCTTCAAACTGAGTGGTTGAATTAATAGTTGCTGATCAATAGTAGGGTTGACATGCTGGAGTAGAAAAAGTCCGGTAATGCAAAAGTGGAGGTAAAGCTTAAGGAGCTGTTGTAGAATAGATTATTTGGGTCATTGAATTACACCATTGCTGAACTTGAGGACAAGTGTAACAACCAAAGTTTGTATACTCTGGTGCACAACTCAGACAAGGAAGAGTGGGGAAAGTAGGAGTGGGTAAACCCCTTAGGATAAGACCAAGTTAGTTGTGGATAAACAACAGGAGGATTCGGTGAAGAGTCTCCTTGATCTATTGGGTCATCAAGAAAAACTCTTTTGCTATGTAGAACTATATAGCCACCACATGTATATATGGATGCTTTCATAGCAAATATAGCCCTATAAATGCAATTATAGCACTATACTGATATTTCCATAGTCACTATAGCCCTATTAATGCAATTATAGCCTTTATAGCACAAAATTTAGCTAAAAACAAAACAATAATATTCATAATTTGAATTTACCATAGTGTCTGATAAGCATATTTACTACTAAAATTGTTGAGATAACATTTTGTACAAACATCCAAAACATTACTGTGAGTCCAATTGAGTGGACAAGTATCTCTATTTCCCCCAAAGATTGGAATCAAATGACAAACCTATCTAATTGCAGAAAGGGGTATAATATCACCAGGCAGGTAGCCAGAAGCATTAGGCCCAGGTTTGGTGACAGAGTACATCATATGGTTTTCTTTAGCTGTTGTTAGCCAAATGATCTTTGGGCCAGTTAGAAGGGGCACTATGTGTGCCATATAAAGTTGTAGGTAACTTGAAGATCACTCTGAGGCATCCAATTCTTGTGCCTGGGACAACTTTTAAACTGATAGTAGATAGAGCTTTATATTATAAAACTTACCTGTCCAACTTGTTGATTCACAGTTATTGGAGTTCATCACTATAATAGTATCAAACTTAGGATGTGTGAGGCAACGATAAACTATAACAAAAACAAAACCTGTCTCCTTCTGCACTTGCAGGGAGTAAGGGGTTCAATGAGCTTGAGGTCGACCAACGCTAGTGAATATAGCGAGTAGAGGACTTTGAGAGGTAAGCTCAAAGGTTTTTGTTCAGGAGTAAAGCGGGTAAATTCAGTAATAGAAAACTAAGAAACTATACATGAATAGGTAAAACCTTATATAGTGAACTGTTCGTTTCTCAGACCAAAAGGAGAATAAACGAGAAGTGGTCTGAGGAATTAATCGTCCAATAAGAAAAAGAGAGAACAACTATTGTACGACTTTTAACTTGATTAATCAGCGGGTGAGAGATTTGTACTAATAATAGAGGTTTGTTATGCATGTTCAGGAACCGTATCCTCATGATGAGGTATGATCCTGATCAAAGTGTTTATTAGTATATCCAGGCCTTAATGGGGCTTGGAGCTGGTTGGCGAGATGCCTACTACCAGTCCCTACCCATTGTGCTGGCTGGCTGGGAGTGATACCCAGTCTCTGATCTGTGATATAAAGTGGTAACGGTGGTTAAGAAAGCCTGTTAGGGCTATGAGAAGTAATATGGCAAATGATACCTCTAGCCCTAGAGCCAGAGGTGTAATGGGAAAGGCGTCCGAGAACCAAGACATAGAGAAGATAAGAAAATAATAAAATGGTCCTTACATTACCCCCCCTTTTTATATTCTTGTCCCAAGAATCTTAACGCCGCAGTCCGTGAAGCGGTTTGTGATCCAGTTAAAGAGGCGGGGTTTTTCGGTTGTGGTGGTGAAATTTTCGTAAGGGCGGAATTGTAGGGTGGCGGCGGCGATTACGCGTGGGGCAGCAGGGTGTTTACGATGAAAGGCGGAGATGAGCAATGGAGAATTCTTCAGGTGATGATCAGGTTCCCACGTTCTTTCCGTGATTGGGTATCCTCTCCAATGAACGAAGTAGTCAAGCTTGACCCCTTTTAGTTTAGTAGGTTGCAAAGCAATGATTTCTTCGGCTTCGTATTCAACCGCGCCATCTACTTGGATTGGCGGAGGTTTTGAGGTACGAGGTTGATTGGGGAATTCCGGTGCGTGATATAGTGACAGGAGTATTCCGTTGAAGACAGCATGGATCGCCTTCCAGGATCTAGGGATGTCAAGGAGGTAAGCGGATGGGCCGACCTTCGCTTTCACAGTAAACGGGCTGAATCGCTTATCGTTTAACTTCTTCATCGGCCGATTGGTGGAAATGTGAGTACCTTCTAACCGCACCTTATCTCCCTTGTGATATTCCCATGCTTCTGTGCGTTTTCAGTCATAGTACTTCTTAAGATTCTGATTAGCGAGCAGTAATGATTGCCGAGTTTGCTAATTTTGTCATTGAAGTTGTGAAGTCTTTGGCAGCTTGCAAGCGTCCAGAAGGTTTCTGACCGGTTCCCTTGCAAGGGTGAGAACCATAGTTTACAAAGAAGGGGGTTTGATTGGTTGCAGAATGAAGGTGGTTGTTGTACGTGAATTCAGCGATTGCTAGCTAATCGGCCCAATCATCCTGTCGGTGGTTGATGAATGTGCACAGGTAATGTTCCAGGTCCTGGTTTATCCGCTCAGATTGGCCATCAGTTTGAGGGTGGTAACCTGTTGATAGACCAGGTTCAATTCCGAGAGATTGGTAGAAGTCTTTGGTGAAATTCAACATGAACTGAGGTCCTCTGTCCGATATGATTTTTTCCGGGATACTGTGTAGTTGTATGACTGAATCTTGTAATTGTTTGGCGTAGCCTAGTGAGTCGAGTGTGACATGTGTGGGTACAAAGTGAGCCTAATAACTTCCACAACATCTCCAATGGATTCCTCCTGGAATGGATGTAGAGGGCCATAGGGGTTATCTAAATTTTCTTCCACTAGCAATCCTTGCCTCTCCAAGTCGCCATCCTGCTGGGTTAGGATCTCTCTCAATTTACCCTTGCGGTACCAAGCACAGCTTCTTGCAGAGCCAAGGTGTGTATTGAGGGCACGGGTGCTGGAAAAAGATCTGCCACATGATGCTGGGCATAGGTGAGGAGTATTATGATTGACAAGCATTTTGTTATGTTGGAGGATGAGGAACGATGAATCTGCAATATCAGAAGCAAGGAACAAAGACAAGGCATTATGACGGTGTTTAAGAGATTGGAGAGTAACAGCTTGCAGACAATTGGATGCCTTGACTGCCTGAAGAGAGGATGCGGAGGAAGTGATCAAATTTGAATAACTTGCCATAGTTCCACTGGTCCACTTTGCACCCAAAACATAGCTCAACACCAAAAGGGCCTGGAATGCAAATTGCTCATCATCGGACCTCCAAAGATCCAGATGATGGACAAACCCTGACGGTCTGCTAAAAGGCTGTCTCAGGTCTTTCCACCTTGAATTTCCTCTAAAGCTTCCCCAAGGATATCAAGAACATTGTCATGGGAGGCATGCAACAGTACAAAGAATGGTGGCGGACCTGCCTCTACAAATTTCTTTGAGAGGAACAATGTGGACCCAAACAAAACCTTGCAGAGGCGCTTGAAGTAAGGGATCATAAAGGTGAAGTATTCAGATACATTATTTTCAAGAAACAAGCTGAGACCATTGACTCTGCCAAAGGTCTGATACTTGTGAAAAGCAGTGTCAGAGTGGGTAAACATTGAAGTGAACTCAGGATTTAGCCATTTCTTCATATTGTCCTTTTCTTTAGCATCTGCATCTTTCATCTCATATGGCTTTACCATCAAGACACACATGGCCAGCAATACGTAATAGAATAACTCCAGGTTATGATGGGCAGTGTGTTGAATCCAGTCACCAGGCTGTGCATTTTGCACTTCCACCGCCATAAAAGGCTCTGTCCCCTGTTTAAAATACATAAAACAAAATAATTGGATGATGGCCGATATACACATTTACTGTACGCTCAAAAACATGATTTCCATTACCAACCTGCCAGCCCTCCTTACTCAACTATTGTATAACCTCATCAAGAGTACCCTCTACAACATCCAATGTACACTCAGGTTGATTATGACGTAAAATGAATCTGATAAATAGATACTCTGGTCGGAGTGGATTGTTTCTTCCTCGTGGTTAATGGTGAATAGCATGGACTTCACCAACTCTTGCAGTTTCTGGATGTCACCAAATTTCAATCCAAAATAGTGGTCATCCTGGTCTGAATCTTCAGACACGTCATCTGAACGTTCCTTTGAGTCGTCTGAATGCTCTGCTAACTCTTCAGTATCTTCAAACACAGCTGCAAATCCCCAGTCTGCATGTAAACCCCTCCATATGTGAGTATTGGGAGGTACACATCCCTCTGGAGCTTTCAAAGGGGGCCAGTCAGACAGTGCTTGATCCACGATAAGGGAGTTGCTGATTGAGCCATCCCGGTGTAAGACTTTCACAGGAACTTGGCCTGAAACAGAGGTTGTCATTGCCATCTTGTGACCTAGTTAATGTTAGTATAGACAAATAAATGGTGGGTATGATACTCGCTTTTGATGAGATCAATGAACACAACAAGGGGCTCCTCTGGGCAATTAAAATCTGTTATAATTTGGAGGGGACATGTGATCACACATTTTCCTAAAGTGGAGGTCACTGGGACATTTGCACACCTTCCTAAAGAGGATATTGCTTGGATGCTCACATACCTTCCATTTATGGTCAGACCAAGAATGGTAGATGCTCAAACACCTGCTTAACTGCCTTTTTTGGTTATCCCAAAAAATTCTATCCATATCGGAATATGAGCTGCTGGCACGTGCACTGAGCATGCATAGGAATGACCTCATGCATCTGGTGGAAATACGCAATGGTATCCAAGACTTACCTGAAGGCCTGGTCGACTTTCAGAGCAACTTATCAACATTTCTATCATACCCATCAATTTTGTCTGTATTGCCAGATGAGCTTTCAAGTTTGATTTCTGATCTGGCTATCCTCAGCTGAAACTATATATTTGTCAGTTCTATCTGAATCCGAGTTATTGTTAGGTAAAACCTCACTAGGTATGTTTACATTTTTCTTTCCAGTTCCTCTTTGGAAAGCCAACGGCATCATCCAATACTATAACTAATTTAATAACCTACCTAAAGAGCAATCAGCACTACCAAACATGCTTCCCTGGTTGGACAAGTCTTATCTTTCTACTGGCACTGATACACACAAAGCAATCAAGGGAAATCCAGAGCATCAAGACAATAAACTCAATGACCTCAAGACCTGGCACCAGCTTCTGAGCCCCATCGCCCTTGTCCTAGGGGTGGTATTACTTTTTCACTGCAGCATCAGGGTGGCGAAGGTACATGGCAACGACAAAGTAGTCCCTGGATCAACACAAGCGAGAATGTCAATGCTATCATTGCAACTCTTTTATCCGCTCATTGGGGCTCTGACACACACAACCCAGAAGCTTGGCTCCTGAACGTCAAGTCTGCAATCCAGGAGGGAGCATATCTCGACAAATCACTTATGTCAGTTGTTGCTTGTTGCAAGGGACTTGGTGGCAAGGACATAGCCGTCAACTTTCTTCTGATGGTCAATCTTATGCAGCTTATCACAAAATGTCAAAGGTAAGTACTTATCTTTCTCTCATATTCAATATTCTTCGCTCATATCTCAAATTGTAGTATCAAAATACAAACAGGTCTCTCTCTCAATGGAATATACAATCAAGAAATTGCGTATCTGTCTAACAAACCCAGCAAAAGGACATTTCAAGACTGGTATTTCACTGGAAGCAAGTTTGCAGCCCTTGCTGGTGGAGGCTCGATATATTTATTAGTACTTATTGCCAGTCTGGGTCTTCGTGTTTCAGTTGCTGCCATGGAGGGCATTTCACCATGGGACCTTGAAAATTTGCTAAGAATGCCAAAAAAAGGTAAAAATTGAAGATATCCACCTCTTGTACATCTCTGACAAGCTTTAAAAAGGAACTGTCAAGGGAAATTTAATTATCAACCACATCATTCCTACTATCAGTCGCATGCACTTCTCTTTGCCCATTAGCATGGCATCAATGTTCTCCCCGGCTATACTTGCGGAGCATCAGCTAGCCAATGAATTTGATCGCACAAATATCAGCTCTTCAGACCATTTTTTTGATTCTGTTATCTTCAAGTGCATGCTATAGGTTTTAGCTTTATTGAAGTTTGATAGGATATCCTTGCTAATAACAATATACCTAGTAACTTTGTCTTACTTGAGCGCGACTGCATTGTCTGGCAGTCTTGCTACACTTCCACTATTTGCGCTGGTAATCCAGCTATCCCTCTGCACCAACTGGGTTACAACATACTTACACCACTGGAACACTCATTTCTGAGTAGACCGTATAGTCCCCCATTAACTGACATCAATGAGAAAGAGGACAGTCCTCTTCCCAACTCCTATCCATCTCGCTTTCTCAGTGAGAAAAACACCACCACCATCCCTACATTGTATAATCATTCTTTGGCTGCAAACAAAGTCTTTCAGGCAGAACATGATTGCAATGCCAATATCCTGTGGACTGAGAAGAAAAGGGAATGAGCAGTAAGGGACCATGTAGCAACAGACACTAATAACTTGCAAACACAGGTATGTGGCTACACATTGGGAGCCTATCCAATCATTTACCTGGGTTATTGCTAGCTTCAGTCTCTGTATCAAGACGGTGTAAAGGCTATATGTGAGATGTACCTGAGGATCCTAGCAAACATCATATTGGGGTCATTGTACACTCAAGTGTTTGGTGTCTTATCAAACTTCTTGATATCAGCCAATCACTCAATATTTGCAACTCAGACGGCTCCCTCATGGTCTTTGTTTGCACATCCCTCCCTGACTATATCCACTCATCACTACAGCCAAAGCTCCTGGTTGTATTTGAGAATAATGAGCTGCTTACTGAGAAGCCTGTACAACATGATGAGGATGACATGTTTGAGGCGCTATACTTTTCCTGGTACAACCATCACTGCACAAGAGTAATTACTAATACAGCCATGTTATTCCTTTCCAGCTGCCCACTAACTTCCTTGAAAACCAGGGAGATGACACTCCAGCTGAGATTTTGCCTCTCATGTTAGAGAGGGAAGATAGACGTTGTACCAACTATTCCCAGATGATCCCTTACCTATCCAAGGAAATCAAAGATGACAGCACTATTTACCAGACTATCAAAGTTGTCTTTGCAGACCTATTCCATTGGATCCATGATGTGGTAAGCTTGAATATAGTACATTATTGTGGTATCTAATCTAATAATCACTCTATCCAAAAGATTGAGCTGCAGCTGCCTGAGGAGTATGAGCTATTGGCTGAAGTTACGTCAATTTTGCCTGGCATCAATTTGTCTCCAATATTCCCCTTCCTTTCACTGGTGATTAACCTCAATGTCTCTACCAAAGGTCATCGAGATAGCAAAGACAAGGACTTCTGTCTTGTCCTTCCTATTGGTAATTTCCAAGGTGGAGCCCTTGTCATGGTTGAAACAGGTCTGGTCTTGGAAATAAGGCAAGTTGACTTCGCCATCTTCAGATCTTGTGACATTACGCAGTTCAATCTGCAATAGCAAGGTAAGAGAGCATCTTTTGTTTTCCATACTGACAAAGAGTTTTCTTTATGGGCAAAGAATAGAAATGGATGGGCAGATAATGTAGTTTGAATAGTTTAGCTTTTTGCACGTCTTTTCTTTGTGAAGTTAGTATACTTTCAGATATTCCCACGCCAAAATTTGACGTGTTGTGATTTAATCCTCCCCATGTATTGCAGGTTTATCATCCTCCTTATACTACTTATAGCTAAAAAATCTGCTTCTAGTAAAACCAAATCTCCGAAGGGTAAGATTATCATAGATGCTGGGGAGTATGAGACAGTGTCAAGGTACTTGTTTTTTTAAATCTCCCATAAAATATTATATTCTACTGATGCTATTTAGAAATCCTAAAATGTACTGCTGATACTCTTGAGGAAGAGGATGAGGGGGAGGATGCCCCACTGCCACCCTCCCAGAAGCATAGGCATAGGAGGGAGGTAGTAGATGACCAAGATGAAGAGAATGATACTAACATGGTCCAGACTCCACCTTCAACTCAACCTAGATCCTGCGGGCCTATAGATAATAAAGATGAAGATGGGGGTGGGGATGATGATACAAATACAGAAGAGTTTAGGAACACTGTTAGAGGGGATAGTGAACAAGAAGGTATAATTTCTTTATCTTGTATATCAAATTTGTCTTTTATATAACAAGTATAGAAAAGGATGATGGCAATCATTCCCAGATGCAAGGCAGAAAAGTGAGTATATCTATCTACTCTGAATAAAAGTTAACATCTTCACATATGTATATAGGACGCACAACAAGCTGATAATATTGGTGAAAGCACTAGCACACCATCTTGTTTGCCATCTGCAGCTCTTTCTATCCAACCTTCCAGTTGCACATCAAGCACAGCAATGGCTAGTGTATCTCCATCTTCTGCTATGACTAGGAAGCACAAACCTACACTAGCTCTTTTCCCTCCTTCTTTTGCACAGCTAGCTATAGAAGCCCATACTCAAATGCGTCTTCATATCTCAACAAATGAAGGATTCCCTGCTTCTAATATACACTCTGATATCTCATGGCAAATAATCACTGAAAGCTCCAAGATTGGCAACAGCTTTGAATCCAAATTGAGGGAGATTGAAGAAAATGAAGCGTTGAAAATCTTTATGATGGATTATGTGAGTATATTCTTTCATTGCCATGATTTGGTTTAACTCTTGTTTGAATTTTTAGGTATGGTCTTCTGGGCCCTAAATACGGGGAGAGGTTGTAGCCAAGGCCAGACTCATGATCAATGGTGCATATGGTATCCCAGGGGATATGTCTCCTGAAGAAATCAAACTTGCTGTTCAGTGGTTGATTGATATATGCACATTTATTAATGGGGACCTTGATATCAAAGTGAGAACTATTGTTTTTTTCATCGTATTACAACTTATGGGTATCAGGGAAGAACCTATAACAAGCAAAAACCATTTTCAAATTCTATTTTCAAGGATCTCATAAGGAACCAATGGTTTGGAAGAAAAGGTGAAGGAATTAGGTACGCATATATTTTCAAAGGTATTCTTTTGCCTCTACTTGCACTGGTTGCCTCTGCAATATGACTTTTTACTCCTACTTTTGAACATTTACTTACTTATCCACTAGGTTGAGTGTGCTCTTAGAGCCTATGATGGTGATGGTAAAAGCGTACAAGATTTTTCAGAGAATATGTTCAAAGCTAGGTGAGTTCTAATCACATTTATAATAGTTCTGTCTAATCTTATTAGTAGATGGGGATTCTACTTTGAGAAGCTCTCTACACTCCAGAAGTGTTGTCCTGGTTGGATGACTCAAATGAGGAATAATCCTTATGAAAGCATTTTATAAGTGGTATATATCTACTGCCTATCTTTTAGCTAATGTGAAATATATATACAGACAATCAGCCAATCTTTAATATCTTAATCAAAAACCTCAAAACAAAGATTATGTGATTGACTTTGATGCTTTAGAGGAAACTATGGTAGCTTAAGTACTCTATTAGTAGTAAAGTCTATTCATAGTCTAGATTGCTTGATTCTTTTAATGATATTATGCATTTCTTGCATTACCCTTGAAGTTATAATGGCAATAAATGTCCAGATAATTAATCCAATCTATAGGTACATATGAAACAAGGTGAAAGCAATAAGACTTGTATTACAGCTATTTTTTCTATAAAGACTATAAAACCTAGCCAAAAGCTATAATTAGTTGGCTTGACTCTAAAAGCAAAAAAAGGTCCCCAATATGTATAACAGCTATAATTGGTTTGCTTGACTCTAAGAGTAAAAGAAGATCCTCAACATCTATAAAAGGCTATAATAACTTTTGGTCATCTATAAATGCCAGAGGTTCTATAACAGGTCTGACAGTTATGACAACTTTATAAGTACCTATAAGCAAGTATAGCTCTATATTTGCTCTATATAGCTACCCCCATTTTTCCTGATAGTACAGTGACACCAAAAACCCTTTCCATGTTTACTCTAGGTGTCATGCATGAAGCATACCATCACACAGCTTGGGTATTACACTTAGCTTTGGTGGGCTTATAGATAGTACTTACTCCTAGCTATAGAATTGCCACATAGGTCATGTGATTTGGTTCACATGCTATGGAGATATGGTCAATTTAAAATAGTAACACCATAGAAAGGGATTTTTCACTTTTGAATTGATGACTAGAACCTTAGTTGTAACATTGAATATTTGCTATTATATGTTGGTACAAACAAAGATATATATGTCTGAGTTCAAAAAAGTTCACACACTTCTTGAATCTCAACTGCCATCATAGTCAGATCCCTCCCTCTTACTCAAAAAAACTCCATCCCTTCATTGCTTGATGCTGGCTACTCTGGTGAAGCCATTGCCCAGCAGACTGGTGTTATCCTGTCTACTATATCCAAACTTCACTCCAAAGAGTGTTCTACCCTGCCTAAAGCTATTGGAGGTTGTCCTTCCAAGCTTTCCCCTACCAATATTTGACATGCCCAATGTCTTATTATCTATGACAAAGCTGAAAATGCTGTCAAAGTTACTAAAGCCCTTATCAATGTCATCAACCAGCCCCTCTCATCCAATACTGTTCTGTCTCATTTGAAGAAATTGGGTATGAAGGCTGTTGTGAAGTCCAAATGCCCCCTTCTCTTTACCAGGCATTGTAAAGCTCGTTTGGATTTTGTCTATGCCCACAACATATCTAAAAAAAAGAGGAAGCTGCACAGCGTGAGAAAGTGAAAGTTAAAGTGGAGTTTGTAATATAACTAAGTGAAACTCAGCCGCTGCCCGAGAGGCTATAGAAACGACTTTATTATTTACCTAAGTGAAACTATAATAGACGTTAGTTTAAGGTGATCTCTAATAAATGTAATGTAACATACCTCAGCCACTGCCCGAGAGGCTATAGAAACGACTGAGGTATTCCTATACTAAACCCCCTACTACTTATAGTCGGATGTGCTACTCACTACAGTATTATGACTCCATGGAGTGGTGGCTATGCTCCATGGAGAACAATGGCTGCTTCGGCAGAGACCGGGTTTATCCGGTTTTGTCACTCCCACTCGAGTGCAACCGTAGTCCCATAGCTTTAGAGAATTTCCAGTGTTTTTCATGAGTGAGGGGTTTAGTGAGAATGTCGGCAACCATATCTCCTGTAGGAACATATCTGATTACTGCCTCTCCCTTTGATACTATTTCATCTCAGATGAAATGATATTTCCGTTGAATGTGTTTTGTGCGAGCACAGAACTGTGGATCTCATGTAAGAATGATAGCTGCTTGATTGTCACAGTGCAATGTTGTAGGTCCATTTTGAGCATGTCCAATTTCTTCAAAAAATGTCCGAAGCCATGCAAGGTGTTGTCCAGGATTGCTCAATCTAATGTACTCTGACTCCGTGGAGGATAAAGTGACCATGCTTTGTCTTTTGCTTGTCCAGGAGATCGCTCCTTGGATGGTGATAAAAACAAATCCTGATGTTGATCGAGACGTGTCTGGGTCTCCAGACCAATCTGCATCTGAATATCCATAGAAATCCATGTCCATGGAAACATCTGTGCCATCATATCGTAGTTCCATTTCCCTGATTGCTTTCAGATATCGGAGGACACATTTTTCAGCTTCCCAGTGATGGCTCCTTGGAGCTGAGCTATGTCTGCTTAGTATTCCAACAACGTAGGCAATGTCTGGGCGGGTTCCAAGCATGGCATACATAAGGGAGCCTACAATTGAGAGGTATGACACTTGACGCCCTTCAATATGCATCTCATGTTGCACAATATCTTCCCCTGGAGCATTTGCAAGGAGTTTTGATCCATGGGCCATTGGTGTCCATACTAGTTTGCAGTTCTTCATTTCAGTACGCTCCAGGACTGTGTCAATGTATTGGCGTTGCAATAGGGATATTGTTTTGTTTGAACAATCACGTTGGATTTCTATTCCGAGGATGTATTTTGCTTCTCCAAGGTCCCGCATTTTGAATATGGATTCGAGTTTGGCTTTTGTGATATCCATGAATTTTCGGGATGAAGCTCCTAGAAGGAGGTCATCTATATAGATAACAACAAAGCATATTTGTTTGTTGTCCCGGAATACATAGAGACATGTTTCTGCATTTAGTCTTGTGAAACCGAACTCCTGGAGCTTGCGATCAAAGGTTTTGTTCCATGTACAACCAGCTTGTTTTAATCCATAGATGGATTTCTTCAATCTCCAGCAGTATCCAGTTGGATAGGAACACCCCCTGGAGAGCATGTACAGTCCTCTCAGTCTCCATTGAGATAGCTGTGTATACGTCCATTTGATCAAGTTCTAGG